AGAGACGAGGCATGAATAAATGCACAGAATGATTAGGTAAAGTAGGTGTCTCTCGTCTTCCGGGATGGGATGCAAAAGACTCCGAAACCGCATGGTTGGAGACACTGAAGGTCATGCTGTCACTTCTTATCAGACCAGAATGCTTGAAATAGTATGTATGCACATTTGGACTGTCTGCTCTGTGTTGACCATAGAGGTTCGCTTTCTTTTCCCGTCCCTAAAAGTAGGTCTAATCCCTATCCTCCTTAAACATTCTCACTTACGTTGTATGCAATATGAGTTTGGCAGCGATCAGCGAAGTTCGCTTCAATAGTGAAGCGAACTTCACGTTGTGCGATAATGATGATGAATTATCAACCTTGCACTCAACAACATTTGATAGATTGGATCGTGCCACGCTGAGACATACCAATGAGAAATGATACAAATTGAGGAACCAAAAGCACAGGTTTTCACTTCACCCACATATTCTAAGATTTCCACTTTCACTTTGATTCACTGTTTTTTTATTGCTGTTTTGAGGGAATCCCTTTGGAAAATTAATATGGCATGAATTTAACTTAAAAAAGACGAAGTCAAACATTGTTTACAATGCCTTAACAAATGAGAATATATAAAAGACCGTTTGCAAATTGGTGTTCAGCAGCCAACTCTGGAGATAAACCACCAATGTTGCACTGTTTATCCTCACAAACAAGATGTGTTTTGTAGACTCGACCATAACCCAATCTGCCTCTTGTCCTTCTTATCTGATCACAGCTAACTGGCACCATAATCCTATCAAATAATTTCATTAGGGTCATGACACCATTTGTCACCAATAGCATTCACTTTTCTTTTACGCGTAATGCTTACGCTGCTGTGCCATAGAAGACGACAAACTTGTTTTTCACAACCAAACTCTGTCTCCTGACTGATAAACAATTAAACGGATAGATAATTGCCAATCCGGGCTCTCGTATATATGTGACAGTACCATTCGCAATTCGAACGCATTGTAGAATATGGTTGTGAATGACCTGATTGAGCGTAAGGCTTTGTGTAATGTAATTAATTAATTATTTCGAACGTTGGGTTTTAAAACACTACCACTAATCATGCTTGTTGCACACAAATTCAACTGGACGAGGTTTCGCTCTGTGAGATCGTCTAAATTTGACATGCAAGCCTATTTTTCCCGTTCGTCGCTAACTATATTATCAAGTTGATGCTTTTACGGTTTCTGTAATTTTGTTTTTCGTGGTCACAAGTGACCAATGATATGTGGAAGTCAGTGGATCATCTGGTATTGTGTGTTTTGTGTTTGATGTGTCTGATGTACGATCTAATGCCATTATCTTGACAGAATAGGTTCAATTGCATTTGTTCCTTGCATTTTCATCGCATCAAATTCAGACCCATTGTTTTACTCATCTGTCTACAGGTGGCGCTATGCCTACACATCTATTCTGGAAGAGTCAATCCGACGCCGGCGACGAATGTGGTCTTGGGACCACATCAAACGGACTAGGAAATTGGCAAAGGATTATGTTGTTTTATGGGTCAA